GATGCCACAGCACTCTACCCAGGGGGACAGCTTGAGGCTCTGTCAAAAAAAAAAAAAATGTAAATAGCTAACATTTAAAAAAAAAAAAAAGATGAAATGCTAACTTTAGGGAGAGAAAGCTGTGCTTTTAGGCAAAAGACACACAGAAGCTATGTGACTTCTGGCGGAAGGAGCAAGGAGAAAGAACTGAAAGGAGGAGAAGCAGTTTGGGGGTAGTTCCTTGAACACACTTCCCGGGCTGTGGGGGTCTTGACACCTACAATCCGCACTTCACAGTTGCAGGGTCCTAGCTGTACCCCAAATCAAAGTGCTGGGCTTGGGCTGAGCCCTAAATCCAAACAGCCCTGGCCCCTATACTGTAATTAGGATTGCCAGGCATACCACCAACCTACGCAGCCATCTGTCCCCACCTCACCAAAAGCAAGCTGTTCCCTGAGTCTGCCCCCAAACTCCGCGACCTTTGGGTGCCTGGCTTTCTCCCTCTCCTCTTCGCATGACCAGAGGATCCCCGGCTACTACTGCGGCAATCAGCCCAGAAGATTAGAAGACTCATCCCTCCAGGAGTCCACCAAGAGCTCTCCGGCATGGAGGTCGCCACTGAGACTACATGGACAGCCCCTCCTAAGGACTAGTCCCTAGCATTCGCCAGGTGGATCAAGTAGGTCTATACCTGTGGTGCCAGGCTCAGGAAGCAATGGAGCCTGGAGGCTGGACTACATCTCCCAGAAAGCGCTGCGCGGTAGAGGTACACGAAGGCCCCGCCCCAGGCGCGCAGGGGTGGAGGCGGTGCCAACATAGCTGAACTTGAAGTCTCACCGGAGAGAGAGGGTTGGAGACAAACATACCTCCTCCTGCTGCCTACAATCACTAATTTAAAAAACCTGCAATTCCTCCATTCAAACGTAGCTATGTTTAAGTTTATATAATTTCGTTTAAATATTTGTTAAAATACTTTAAAAATGAATATATATTCTGAACATTGTGTTCTTCCACAATATTTTGTAAATTCTACCTGCTGCTTAGGTAAATAATGTCTTATTTGGTTATCGTTAGGTTGTTTCAAATTACAGACGTTACTTCCTTTGGGGGGATCCATTTTTTGCCTTTTGCAAAGATTGAGGATCTGAAGCACGCTTACCTTAGCAAGTCTACCTGGGTCATTTTTGCAACAGCACGTGCTCACTTCTTGTGTCTGCATCAGCTTTTCGTTTTGTTTTCTTTTTCTTTTCTTTTCTT